ATTAATCCCTAACATTTCCTGGCCACATTGATCTATAAAATTGTGTTGTACAGCGGCTGTTGCATGGTCTGTTTTGATGTGTCACGGGAAAATTTCAAAATAACACCACCCCTTAGTCCTCTGATGCTAGACCCTTCGGTACTAAAAGAGTACTCGGTAAATTAAATTTAGGGAAAATGGGGTATGCCGTAAAAGTTGGATGGGAAGAGAGGCCAGATAAGTCCAAGAAAATGGGGTATGCCGTAAAAGTTGGATGGGAAGAGAGGCCACGTGAGTCCAAGAAAAAAACCTTTAGTCTGTCATGATGACATGAGCCAATAAGCTGTCAGCGGACTCCAGAACATGTCTTGCAAGACTGTCCTCTCCTATAGGAGCTGGCGAATCAACATGTGGCCACAGCTAGTAGACCTGACAATTAAGCTTTGAAGAGAGCTTGAGATGACATCCCAGTTTATGGCCCACAGTGGATTAGGTGTCTGACTACAGATAGCTCAAGAAGCAGGCATAATGTCAGGAAGGATAACTACACAAACCTAGAGCTTGAAATTGTTTGCTGTTTAGAATTTACTATTTCTGCTTCTTTCTTCTGCATCTGTGAGTGCCTGACAATGCACTACAATGTGTTTATCATATACAGCATTGCTACCTGCATGATAACTTTATGTCTGTAAATAAAATTCTGCGGTCTCACAGGTGCCAAAGTAATAATGGGCCTAGAAGTACTTTTATTTTTTATTTAGTGCTAGAATTAGAAAACATTCATTTAATTGTTGCTTTGTGAAGAGAAGTAAGAAGAAAATGGTTTGACAGAATCAATAGTGAGCTTAAGGAAGAATTAAACAAAATCGTGTTAACCATTATTAAGAAAAAGATATGTTGGATATGAGAACATCTAGAATGCCATTTCACACATGAATACACGAAAAAAGAGAAATTAACCATATGAAAAGGATTCCCCATGGGCCTCGCTGGGGGAAAGGGGGGCACACTGCTTCTAATAAACATGTCGTCAAGTGTGTCTGTCAGAGAGGCAAGTACCAATAGTCTGATTACAATTAAGACAGATCTATAAAATGAATTTTCAACCAATTTTCTAATTCTGAAACAAGACTAAGTCAAAAAGTCGAAACAACCTGATCTTTCCACAAGAGTTTACAGCCGGTGAAACTGAAGAAGAATAAGAAAAGATATTGAAAGGATATAATCTGGCCAGTCAATTTGAAACAGAATAATTTAAAACTGGCTTTTTCTTTTTACCTTCATTTCGTTTTGGTCTCCACCCGGAAAAACTAATGCAGGCCTTAAATGAGAAAAGCAGATATACTGCCACAAAAACCGCAAATATCACAACTCTGCTGTAACACGCATACAAAAACTAATGTTTTCTATTTCATTTAAAAGGGGGAGGGAGGAGACTTAATATTTTTGCCTTGAAGTAACAGTAAAGTGGATTTCATGGAATAGGTAACCAGAACACAACATGAATGTAAGTGCTCCTGGTGTTATGTCTTAAAATATTTAAAAAAATGTAAATTAGGAAATTAAGAAAATTACAAGAACTCTTGGAACAACGCCTATAGTAAAATTTACTGAAAAACAAATATTGAAATGTTTTAGCCAATTAATGAGAAAAAGCCAAGATGTAGGGGATGACCAGGAAGAAGATGGATTGAAGGGAGTCACGGATACTGTGAGACTCCACAAAACCACAGCAGACCAGACAACCTAGTGTGCCCTTGTTTGGATACCACTTAGCTGTTACCTGCGACGCCTAGCGGCACAAAGCCAAGAATTAACAAAAGACTGACAAAAGAAAGCTCCATATACGTATTATTGTAATGCTAATTTGTTTAAAACTGTATTGCCATCTCCATAATGGAGGTTGGCTGCTGTGAAAATGTGTAACAACAGTTGTATTTGGTAATATTTACAGTAGTTATATTAATATTTGGGAATATAGATAAAGAATCCATTCACTGAAAGAATAATTCATCTAGGGATGTGCAGGTTTTTGAAGATATTCAACAGTGAGAGGGGAACAGGCAAACTTTTACTCAGGTTGCAAGTATTAGCATGATGACTCTTCATAGGCTGCTGAAGAAGGGGACGAAGCATGTGTGGGAATGTCTTGAGTGCAGTGATGACAGTTCTTGATTCATCCATTCATTTGGGAATATTATGTGGTGAGACCCCCTAATAGCTTCCCCAGTGTAACTTTCAAGCCACTATAATCTAAATCTATGAGAACGGTCTATGAATTAGAACAGTGATTCTTAACCTTTCTAATGCCGCGACCCTTTAATACAGTTCCTCCTGTTGTGGCGACACCCAACCGCAAAATTATTTTCATAGCCCACTTTATTGAATGTGTTTTCCAGCGGTCTCAGGCGACCCATGTGAAAGGGTCAATCAACCCCTAAAGAAGTCACAACTCACAAGTTTAGAACCACTGAATTAGACTATACCTAAGCAGAAAATCCCCAGCACCTCAACAGGGAAGTCGTAACTAAATATTTTAAATATAACATTAATTATCAAAAACACAAATTTGTAAACAAAATCGCTTCTCAACCATTAGTCTGTGGAACAGACAGTTCCATCACCAGTTTGCCATCACCTGCAAGAAAGGAAAAGTCTTTTAATACTAAATCGCATAATATTTCAAATCTAAATTTAAGCATAAAGGTGATTAACTTAGGGGGAAAAAATTTGAAGGTGAGTGGGAGAAAGGTGGATTTACGCTTGCCAGTTCAACTGATATTTTTTAATTAAAACTGGATTTATTATATGTAAATGTATAAATTTTACAATTACAAGATTTTAAACAATACATATTCCCAAAAAATGTGAAACTTTTAAAATTAAATTTAAACTGCAAATCTGAATCAGTTTTAAGAAATGATACCACAACAACATGACAGACACACAAAGTATGTAACCTTAAAGAAAACATAGAAATGATACAAGCATATTTATATAACAAAATACAAATCAACGGACCATTAAAAATGGTGAAGGACTGAAGTCCATATAGATCATGTGACAGCAATACAGCCAAGACCAAACAGTAAGCTCTGTGCTCTTGGGAGTGACTGAAATGTAAACAAGCTTATTTATCAAACATGACAAGCAAACAGCATGTGGATTATTAATAACTATCAACTCTTTTAGTACCAGCCTGCCTTTACTTTGACTCTTTCTATCCCTTAAGTTGTAGTTTAACTCTTTGAGTCCCAAGGAACACATCATACGTTCATAGATTCCTACCCAGAGGCCCAATGAACACATGATGTACCGATTTTACCTTTCTCTTGACTACCCCTTGGGCCTGTGATGCTAAACCCCCTGGGACTGAAAGAGTTAAGTTTGATTCCATAAAGACTTAAAATAATACTAAGGGTCAGAAGATGCTAACATTAATTCTCACAGGATCAGTTAATTTCTTTGTCCACTTAGCATTCACCAGCAGAAAGTTCTGGTTGTTTGTCGCTTCTGTGCTAGCCTCAGAAATTGAATTTTGTGTGCACATCTATTTTACAGATCTGTTTGTTTGTATGCACACTGTTGGTCCCTTATGTCTCAGATGCTCTCTGACTTTGGAAGAAAAACCATTCTCAGCTGCCCTTTACCACAGGCACCGCAGGGAGTCACTGGGTCTATACTCCACACCCCCCCCCCCCCCCCCCCATGGGGCTACAGAATCCATACAGGGAGGATCAGTTAGTATAACAACTATGTAATAAAGGAGTCCTAAATCTGTACTTATTCTTTTAACTAGTCAATAAGCATATTGTGAGCTGCAGGATACAAAAAGAGTCAATGGCAAAATGAAGAAATTAAATTAAACTTGCAAATACATATTCAAAGAAGGAAAGTGGTAAGTTTTTTTGTGTGTAAAAAGAATTTACACTGTATATAATAATCATTAGAATATTAAGTATTTATAGTATTTCCACTTTAATCAAATAAACAGCAATTTAACTCATTAACTGCCTAACAAACCTGTTTAAAAAAAAAAAAATTCCCTCACAGATTTTATTTATTGTAAAATCAGAAATGTTTCTATACTCCAGCTGTAGTCTGTTAAATTTTGGAGAAAAATATTTAATTCTTAACAAATCCGGATGGTTTAAATTAGTATTAAGTTTAATCTCAAATTAACTGTTACCAATTTCCCCAATTGCTTTAAGTTTTCAATTTCAGTAACAGTGTTGATGAACTCATGCTTATAGAACGTATAATATGGCATTTAAATTCCATCATATACCGGTCTAATGTATTTTGTAAAGCACAATAATTATGTTTTGAAATAACACAAGATATTTCAGCAGCGTAATGACTCAAATACAATTTCTAATGCCAAAACACACAAAAAGTTGCTAGAAGTAACGCTGCAGTTTACATAATCCAAAAAAAAAAAAAAATTTATCAGCAGTTACATTACAGAAAATAGCTCTCATCACAGCAGGCCTAAAATTCGCCCTCTCTCTAACCAATTCTCCAGACCTATGAACTTTTATTGCCAATGTATCTTCAAATCAATGTCTTTATGGAGGTCTGACTCTGCCTCATTTGGAAAAACTTATTTAACCGGGAAGGCTAACCCGGTCAACAAATGCCCGCAGAAGTCGGATGTGTTGGCCGAAAGGTGCAAATATCGCAGTCATGCTGTAAACGGACACAACGCAATTACATCTTTGGGTGAATGCAGAAGAAAAACCTATTTACATAAAAAGAAAAAAGAACATGTCAAAAGTCTAATTTAATTAATCACATCTGTTCACTACTGCAGGTGTCCATGTTGAACTCAGTGCACCGATGAAACTGTTTTTTAAGGCTCTTTACTGGTAGGAGAGCCAATTATCGGAACCAATATTTCTTGCACAGAAGAATATTTCTTAATACCAAATGAACCACAATCAAACATAGATACACTGTAGGAATCTTACAAAGCCTTTATTACTTTTTCTGTCGGCACCTTAAAAAATTGTCTTTTTTCTCTACAACTTCACATAAGAATGATCAGTAATAAGTCCTAAATATGCATTTTTGTTGCAAAGAGGACAGAATTCAAGTGATACGTTGTGTCCGGATACATGAAGGCAAATGCCACCATGTATGTTATCCATAGAAATATGTGACGCATCAGAGTCTTCAAATGTTTCATTATTTTTTGTGACGTCAGCTGGCTGTTTATTTTCTTGTGCCACAGCTTCCTTTTTCTGACTCTGTGTGTGCATCATTTTGCCTTTTACATTTCGTTTTGACGCCCTTCTAGAATTAGTGGAAGAGGCTGACTTTAAATCAAAGACAGAGTCAACTTGCTCAGGAGTATCAACACAGTGAATGTCTTTCTTCTTGCAGCTTCTATCCTTCTTATTATTATTACCATTTTTGTTGCAGCTACTAAGATCAGAGTGCAATTTGTCCTCTTCTGAACTGTTATAGCTCGCTGCATTTTTGAATGATGTGGTCAATGTAATGCCAGGTGTTTTCATCACGTTTTTCAAAATGGCTGAAAGGGTAGATTGATTAGCTATTACTTTTCGCAAATAAGATACTTCGTTTTGTAACACACCCAAGGTATGACTATTCTTCTTTGACTGTTCTCGCAGACATTCATTTTCAACTTGCAAGTTACTGACCGTCTTCTCTAGGTCCTCAACGTACTTTTTCTTTTTCAGCCGGTTGTCTCTTGCAGCAACTGCATTCTTTGAATTGCTATTACCTAAACAGTATGAGCGTCTGCTTCCGTAACTACCCTGTTTAGCAGAATTAACCATGCGTTTTTCATGTCCAGTGCCAGCTAATTTTGTTTTCTTCAAGTCAGAACCTTCATACTCTGATAACATCCACTCAGTGTCACTATCATTGAACTGGCTTGGGCTTAACAAATCAACTGAGTCTGAGCCAAGGTTCGAAAGCTGGAATATATTTTCAACAAAATGTAAGTCCCCAAAAGATTGTTCAGTTTTATTGTTGTCACAGTTAAAAGCACTGATATTATCGAGCTTTTCTTCTTCTGGGGAATCCAATTCACAAGATCGGGCAGTATCTGACAAAGCGGTTAAGCCCCCACTACAAAACACAGACGGAAAATCCTCTTTCTCCTCTGCTGCGAAATAATTTTCTTCCACATCTTCTCTAGTCAAAATATCATGGATCAGTTCTTTTTTCGGATCAACCCAATCCATTTTAAACTGAATGCAAGTTATAGTGATGAAATGAGTTAACTATATCAGTTATGACGTCCACGCTTATGTAGTCAAATGAGCAGCTCAACTCCAAAAACAAAGGCAGCAAGGCAAAGCAATGGTCTCAAGTAAGACTCGAGTCACACTCACCCCGTTAATAAATGTGATAAGAAACCAATTTCACACCGTTTTAAACATACAGGCCTTAGGAAATTTCACAAATACACGTGAGTTTTAAATGTTGGTATACTTCAAGTCAGTTCAATGTGTCTTACCAAAGAAATTATAATAAAACTGCTGAGCGTAAACCACTTTCTCCACAATTTTCACATCGCCATTTTGTCCTACAACCGGAAAGACGTGTACACGCAGGTCCCATCATGCCTCGTATATGGAATATGGACTCACGGGAAATCGTTGGTAAAATTGTTCAATATTTCGGTTTCTTCTCAAGTGGCGTTGGTTGCGAGGAATGTCCTCAACACCCTGTCAGCTGTACTGATATTGGTTTTGGCATCAATGTGTGTCAAAGACTAATTTTTTTTTTCTATCCTAGTTTATCCCTTCTTCTTCTTCTTTTCTTCTTCTTCTTCTGCTCCTTCTTCTTTCTCCTCCTCCTCCTCCTCCTTCTTCTTCTTCTTCTTCTTCTTCTTCTTTTTCTTCATCTTCGTCTTCTTCTTCTTCGTTTTTGACTGATTCGTTTTAAATATTTTCTCTACCTGTCCTACCCTTCCACTTCTTATTTCTTTTTCTTCTTCTTCTTTTTTTTTCTCGCCCTTAAAACCCATTACGCACGTGTTGTAGTTTACAATCTTTCAGCCAAACACACCCTAGTTCAGCAAAACCTTTAGTCGCCTGGTACGATGTGCTTGTTAAGAGGCAATGGATCTATGGTTGAGGAACGCTTAAAAAAAAGGGGCAAAGTGTCCCATATTCATCTGTTTGGGGAAGTGGGGAGGTGCTGCACCCACACATTTATTTTTCTTCGTTCGTTCGCCTAAAATAAGTTGTCTGTGTCAGCAATTTTCTCTCTTGTATAAATTTCACAGCTATTTTTAGTCCATTCAGCGGTCCGCAGAGTACGTACCGCTGTTGTTCTTTCTGGCCAAAATGTTTGTCTAAATGTGTCAAATTCGGTGCATCTCTCAAGTACAGTCGTATCTGTGGCTAAGTTGATGCGAACGCTTCGTAATGCCGGGATGCCGGGTTCGATCCTAGATGCAGGCCGTGCGCCTTTCGTTGGTTTCGACAGTGGTATCAGGGCGCCGACCGTCCAGAAAGCGATGGCAAACTACTGGGCGTAAATTTGCCTAACCGGAAAGACGTGTACGCAGGTCCCATCATGCCTCGTATGTGCAATATGGACTCACGGGAAATCGTTGGTAGAAGTGTTCAATATTTCGGTTTCTTCTCAAGTGGCGTTGGTTGCGATAAATGTCCTCAACACCCTGTCAGCTGTACTGATATTGATTTTGGCATCGATGTGTGTCCAAGACTAATTTTTTTTATTGTTTTCTATCCTAGTTTATCCCTTCTTCTTCTTCTTCTTCTTCTTCTTCTTCTTCTTCTTCTTCTTCTTCTTCTTCTTCTCTCTTCTTCTTCTTCTTCTTCTTCTTCTTCTTCTTCTTCTTCTTCTTCTTCTTTTCTTCTTCTTCTTCTTCTTCTTCTGCTCCTTCTTTTCATTCTTCTTTTTCTTCTTCTTCTTCTTCTTCTTCTTCTTCTTCTTCTTCTTCTTCTTCTTCTTCTTCTTCTTCTTCTTCTTCTTCTTCTTCTTCTTCTTCTTCTTCTTCTTCTTCTTCTTCTTCTTCGTTTATGACTATTTTTTTAAAAATATTTTCTCTACCTGTCCTACCCTTCCACTTCTTATTTCTTTTTCTTCTTCTTCTTCTTCTTTTTTTCTCGCCCTCAAAACCCATTAGGCACGTGTTGTATTTTACGATCTTTCAGCCAAACACACCCTAGTTCAGCAAAACCTTTAGTCGCCTGGTAGGATGTGCTTGTTAAGAGGCAATGGATCTATTGTAGATAGCGCGGAAGCAAACGAGAATGTGTCGCCCAGCCTGTCTATTTATTTCTCATTATATTTCAATTCAACAAAAACAAAAATGAAATGCAAAGATGTGACCACGTAACATGATCTGCCGACATCTGCATATTTATGCTAAAGAGTTTGTAAAAGATAAAGAAAAAAAAGAGTTGAGGCACGCTTTAAAAAAAGGGCAAAGTGTCCCATATTCATCTGTTTGGGGGAAAAGGGGGGGGGGGGGGAGGTGCTGTACCCACACATTTATTTTTCTTCTTTCGTTCGCCTAAAATAAGTTGTCTGTGTCAGCAATTTTCTCTCTTGTATAAATTTCACTGCTATTTTTAGTCCGCAGAGTACGTACCGCTGTTGTTCTTTGTGGCCAAAATGTTTGCCCAAATGTGTCAAATTCGGTGCGGTCCTCAAGGACAGTCGGCTCTGTGGCTAAGTCGATGCGTACGCTTTGTAATGCCGGGATGCCGGGTTCGATCCCAGATGCAGGCCGTACGCCTTTCGTTGGTTTCGACAGTGGTATCAGGGAAGAAAGCAATGGCAAACTACTGGACGTAAATTTGCCTAGTAAAACCACACAACATCCAGGGGCTGTAGGGGTTGGTTCTGCAACGTCCTGTAAAGGATACGCAACTAACCTCAAGTGCATGTTCCGTTGTCTGGGGCACCTTTTCACAGGTACACATGGCTGATACCCCTATCTTGATTTTTGTGTACATGTGGTTGCGTAATCGGTTGTGCCGCTTTCTAATGGGAAGGATAACGACTTGTTCTGATCTGTCCATAATATAGTTTTCTTGTGCTGGGACTGGTGGTTTCCTGATCGATTCCTTCTCTTTTTGTGGTCTGTTACTGGTTCAAGCGGCTGCTTTTTTGTCGCACCTTCCCCTGCCAATTGAATAGCTCGCACATTTCCATGCACTCCACAATAGGACGGTATCAACTGCATTGCGACGTCGCTGACAGCTGAGTTGTGTCAACAGTGTTTGCAGTTCTAGTAGATTCTCAGACTGGAGTGCTTAAAGTACGGATTTTGCATCTGTCAGCATTACCACAGAATGTGAGCCAAGATTGGTATTTAGCAGTTACTCTGTTGCTATCTTGATAACCTTAGTTTCTGAGTCATAGTTATGGCAGTACTTCCCGGTTGGCACACTGGACTTATCCCTAGTTTCCATATTTCTTTCATCTAGTTGAGACCATAGTGACATCAGTTTTACTTTTAAGACCATAAAAACATCATTTTCACTTTTCAATACTTTACATCACATATATTGTACATAAAATTAAAAAAATCGATACACATGTGAACTTGATATGTATAAGACAGACAGTCGGGCAGACAGACAGACAGACAGACAGACAGACAGACAGACAGACAGACAGACAGACAGACAGACAGACAGACAGACAGACAGACAGACAGACAGACAGACAGACAGACAGACAGACAGACAGACAGACAGACAGACAGACAGACAGACAGACAGACAGACAGACAGACAGACAGACAGACAGACAGACAGACAGACAGACAGACAGACAGACAGACAGACAGACAGACAGACGGACGGACGGACGGACGGACGGACGGACGGACGGACGACGACAGACAGACAGACAGACAGACAGACAGACAGACAGACAGACAGACAGACAGACAGACAGACAGACGGACAGACAGACGGACGGACAGATAGATAGATAGATAGATAGATAGATAGATAGATAGATAGATAGATAGATAGATAGATAGATAGATAGATAGATAGATAGATAGTATTGATGAGGTCCCGTTATGGGTGCCATAGCAAAAACAAGAATAGACCTACTGCCTCCCCACCAAGCATGTCGTAGCAGTCGACTAACTGAGGGCTTCCTTCGAAGTCGGAGTACATCTGCCTGAGTGGCAAGGAGCAACAATTTGCACACTAATAAGCCAGTAAAACGAATGTACACACAAAACTCAAGCCTTGGCACAAAGCCTCAGTTCAAATGGACGAATAACCAAGACTTTCCACTGGAACTTACAGCGGGTGAACAAAAGAAGAAGAAGTAACGAAGAGGCCTACGACAGTTTTAATTCGCTTACAACTGGAGGCAAACGTCTCCCATAACTCAGATAGTTATATGACACAATTCCCCCCCCCCCCCTTTTTCCCCAACAATGCACAGGCCTCGGGCAGTTAATTCTAAGTGTCAAAAACAAGCGGTGAAGAAGATTCTTTCTTCTTCTGAATTTAAATAAACAAAAATAATGTCTACAATGAATAGCACACACCAATCACGTATTATTAATACTATTAAAATCGATAACGAAGAAATTGAAAATGTCACAGGTGTTGATTGTAGGGAACGACATTGGCGAATGTAAAGGTCAGAAAAGACAGACTTGCTGTAGCGATGCAGAGGCCTAACAACACGAATAACCTATAGCACAGAACATGCAAGCGGGTTGAAGTAACCATTTTGAGATTGTGCATCTTTCCCAGGGTAAATTATGGTTCTGAGTCACGGTCTCTGACTTAGTTTTTGAAGAAGAAGAGTGGGTGGGGGATGGGGGGGGGGGGGGGGGGGGTCGGAGCTTTTGAAATTTTACAGAAAGTTTCTTTGAATATCCTATACCTAATAGAAAAAAAAAAAAAAAGATCGACATCCTACACTTTTGAACTCCAGGAGAACTGGCTCATAAACAGCATCCTGTCCCGAAAGCTGATGTGGCGGGGTTAAACGTCATGTTGGCCTGGAGAGAACGGTGACGGAAGGTGCAGTTTCCAGAAAAAGAGGCAGAGACTGACCCCCGCGAAGGTGGATACAAGACATTAGGTTGGAGCACAAATGGTGTGAGAAATTGACTAGACAAAGAGACTCTTTCAAACGTGTCGTAAAGAGAGCGACGTTCTGTTAAGGGTTTGCTGTTTGGTGTTGATGGTGTAGAAAATACATTTGCTCTTTCCTCATACAG